GATCTCACCGTCTCCATGGTGGTCCAGGCCTGCCGCAAGGGAGTCGTGAAGCAGTTCGGGAGGGGACCCCCTTCCCTGCAGATGTTGGACTCAATCTCCAGCCTCACGGAGTCGTCGAACCCAAGCGGATGCGTGGCTTGAAGGGAGAAGTATCTGCAGCACAGGGGAGAGGAAGGAAGCAACACAAAAGGATTTCAAACATTTTGCAGGTGCTCAAGAACCATCTTTTTCCACTGAGTTTTCAATCATGCTGCAGTCACTAGATGGTGCCACTTCAAAACGCAGGTACTACTGATCCTACGCGCAGAGAAAGAAAAACCCACCTAAATAAGTGTTTTTCATAAAGCTTTTCTATGCAGATACAGGTAAAACAGATGAGCACACATACACTTTGTAACAGGGAAGGAAGCAGCAAGTACCCAGAACTGAAGCAGCATTTGCTCTTTTAATCACATCATTAAAAATAGAGCTTGTGGCCTGGGCCAGGGGATGGTTGATGAGGTGAAAATGAAAGGAAATTATTCATTTTCTCTCCAATTATTATTTTCTATGAGGGCAATAATTTGACAAACTGGCACTTAAGCTTAAGAACAAACTTCTTCCTGGAAGTAGTTTTGAAGTCTGCCTTCAGTTGCATAATTGATAGGCTGACACACATAAAGGCAAAAAGTTACACTACTACCGGCAAGGAGGCTTGACATTAAAAAGGTTCTGTTCGCTTCCTTAAGGAAAACAAAAAGAGAGAAAAGAAATAACCATCCTCAAGAAACCCTCAAAAGCACTTTTGAAATATTAAAACACAGTACTGTTTGGCTTGCTTTTTTCTTCCTGGCAGGACTCCTATTTTGTGTGGTAAAAGCTCTGGAAGCCTCTTCTAAATGGATAACAGCATCTGAACCTGAAGATTTTTCTACAGTTATACAGCTGCTATTAGCATTAAAGCTTTTCCAAATGACTACCAATTGACTTTGATATGATAGAAACATTAGCTCTCAAGCAACTGAGTCCTGGAAATACTGAGTTTCGCTTAAGAACACAAAAGCATTTATAAGATTTTTTTGCTTTATACATAATAAAGAATTAAAAAAAAAAAAAAAGTTGCCTGTTTATTATGGCAGCCTCCGGTGGGTGCAGACATTTCAGCTTCTGGTAAGAGAACAGCACGAGAATGCAAGGCACAGTTTGAAAATGAAAAGTGCTTTTTGCACAGTGCAACAGAAAGATGCAAAGATAAAACTACAGCTTCAGAAGTAAATAATTGTTGAACTCACTCACTTGTCATATAAAATCATAGCATCATTCTGTGCTTCTTGCCCATCGTATTGGCCTTCTTTGGCAGCAAGTTGAGACTGGAAGTTATCTGCTGCCAACCAGAACTGCAATACATTAACTGCGTCTTCCTTCTCCATATACTAGAAGGGAAATTAGAAAAAAAAGGGAAAAAATTAAAGCAGAAATTTTTGAAAGAAACTACAGCAAGCACAGACAAGCCTGCTCCTTCTCATTTAAAATAAATGTAGGCCGTATATCAATTACTCAAAAGTGTCATCAGGGGATAAAAATATTCTGAATTTTCAGATGGTGCACTGCAGACAGATTTAGTCTGCCCAGTTTGTTAAAGAAATGAGCTACTGAACTCTTTGCCTTAGTGATTGTTACATTTAGTTTCCAAATGTCAGCTATTTGTATCATATTAAAGACAGAAAATCCATTTTCAAGCTGTGCTTAACTTACACTGAACAAAATATATCATCTATTCTTCACAGCTTGCATTTTCAAACTACATTGGCTTGTCAGACTCTCATCGTGAGTATTTTACTACTAAAAGACCATTCCTTAAAAGATAAAGGATGCTGCAGCTGTGAGCTTATACATTTAATCTATCACATCCTGATCTGATCTCCTCTCCAAGCAAAACTAGCAGATTATTTTTTATCAGTAAGAGGGTTAGAATTAACAGTACTTTGCCTAAGGCTTTCAAAGTTACAGTGTCATTTAGCAAAATTAAGAAGTCCAGGTCAGAGCTTCAACAAAGCAAATCAAAAACTACCTAGTGAACTGAGACAATACATTAATATTTATTCCACAGTATGGTATAATAGTTCAAACATTCGGATTAATTGCATGTAGACAGGAAGCTGATAATGCATTTTCTCTCAGGATAATAAATACCTCTTTCCTATATTGAGGTATCTTTACTAAAACCTTCAAGACATCAATGCTTTCCTACTTGATAGAAAGGAAAAAAAAAATCACAAAAGATAAACCCCCTAACACTTACCTCGGAGAAATAAAACAGGGCTGATTCACAGAAAAGAATGTCAGCCAGATAAACAGTCCCACTAGTCAGCACCTCAATCTGGTATTTACAGAAATGATGACTTCGCAAAAAATCACTAAAGTGCCTGCACACAGAGAGGACAAGTTACCAAGGGCCAATGGCATCGAGGCGCTTTAGAAGAACTAGCTCTTGCCTCATATAACTTAAGTCTGATAAAATAAAAACAAGCAAGACACAATATAGGGTGTATGAATATCATGAAAATTATATAAAGAACATAGTAACAGCAGACAAAACTTCAGCAAATGATCAAAAGAATGGATCTGGAGGGAATCCCTTACTTTAAAATACAAGAGATTGCACAGAAAAATTACTTGACAGTTATATCTTCATAAACACATTTTTATTGAACTGTGTTTTCCGAAAGGACAGTATGCACGAGAAGTTAAACCATTCAATCAACTTACTCTTGTTCCATTGCATTAAACACTATTGACTGTGCTGTAACAAAACAGTTAGGATCCACTTGTCCATCTTCCCCACAAATCTTTGCTGTAAAGAGAGACCAGGTTAACTTTAATGTGCACTTTGTTTAATAAGCTGAAGGACACAAGTTACAAGAGGTTAAGAAAAAGCTGCAGTTCAAATCCAGAATCTAGATCTAGAATTCCAGTCTACAATCAGCTGGCTCTGATTCTGCAGAGAGCTTTTAAAAGACAACAGCATTGCTTTCCACAGCACTGCAGATAACTGCACGATGATATTATGGCTAAAATACTATGCTGAGACTCGAATCTCAATGCATCCAACAGCCACCTGGAGTTCTTTCACTAATTTAAGAAAAGCCTGTGAAAGTTCTTCAGGGAACAGGTTTATTGAAAGTGCAGATCCATTATTATCTGTAATGTGATTTTATACTATCAAAATAAGCACAAGGAAGCTTTCTGCAACCATTTTACTATCTTTTATCACTGACTTTAAAATTCATGAAAACAAATGCCTTTTATGTGTATGTAGGGGTGTATTAAAGATATATTTACGGCAAAAGAGGAATTTAAAGTAGGAGATGGTATATATTCTTACCAACAATATCATTTCTCATTGCCTCTGTAATGGGTATTGGTTTAGCAGCATCTGGAGAAATATATTTGGTAAAAGTACTAACTGCGTCCCGTTCTATACCTACAAAGAGGAAACAGAGAATTAAACTTTAAATTCACTGGCATAGGTCTAAAAAGGAGCGAACAACAAACATGTTCTCCAGAAAAGCAAATATCTGATTAACACTGACAGTTTATCTCCCATGAAGCTTTCAAGTGCAGTAGTCAATACTTTGCTGGTGGCAAACTACCATGACTGTTTTCTCTATAGCCAGGTCATAATAAGCCCACGATGAACCAACTGGCAAGAGTGAATAAAGCAGCTTAACTCTTAATTTCCTACCACCAAACAGACCTCTTCCTCAGCTGCACGCCTCAAAACCAACAATAATGTCTTTACAGCAAAAGCTGTGATGAAGTTCCCAGTTTCTAATCCTCACCAGGGGAAAATAGAGAGGACTTGTGGTACAAAAGAATTAAAAATCTTAAAACAAACCAGGCTCAAAATAAGACTGCAGTGCACCCTTTCAAAAGGGAGTTGGGAAGCTTAGGTACCACACACACACACAAGAATAATTATACTCCAAACTTTGGATTTCTCAGAAGGGATCCCCGTTCCTTGAAATGCAGTATTTTCATACATTAGAATGGAGGTGCTATTCACAACTCGAGTACCATCGTGTTCATCTAAGACACTTTGTGGCTGAAGCTACATATTGTGGAAATATATGACAACCAGCTACACAAGAGACAAACAGAAAGAGAAAAGGATGCAACATAAGGAAACAGTTGGGTAAACAAGAGGAACCAATATGAAGAAAGGAGTATTTCCTTTTCTGCCTGCAAGCTTTCACAAACAGGGGAGGACTGAGTAAATGCAGAGTAATGAAAACAGGTTACTGTGCATGTAGCTTACTATCAGAAATAAATATTTTAATTTCATCCTTACTTCCAGTAGCCTTTGAAGAGGTGGACTCCAAATGACAACAAATCAGTTACAAGGGGAAGAACTCTACCAAATAAATCTAAGAACAGAAAGAGTACATTCCATACAAAATCTCTATAAATCTTTTCGCAACCACAACTTATGTCATTTTGCACAATATAGGATATTTATCTTCCATGGAAAGTTAATCCTCAATTTTCAGCCCCACCACGATCCAAATTTTCCTCAATACTTTTAAATAAGACAGAGAGAGAAGGGGGAAAAACAGGACACTGCAACGCTCATCATCACTTCTTAGGATTACTCATGTAGGAGCAGAAGTAAACTAAGCTCATCAGAACACACAACGATTCTAAAGTATCTTCAATTTATTTTTAAGCAACCAAAGGCAGACAAACAATACATAATTTTAAATTGACCATTAGCTTATTCAGAATTACCCATTGTCAAAATTACTTTCTCCTCCCAGCAGCATACAATACTTACAAAGAACATACAAAAAACAAGGCAGTTTAATGTACCATTCCAAGCAAGCAGCAACCAGTATGTCCCCATCCTACCACTTGTAGAGAAAATTAACACATGCCACTTACTTTTCATTAGTTTTCCTGACAAGTCCTTTAGTGCAGATGAGGGGCTGTTTCTGTTTGATACTGTGGGCTTGGAAGATTCTTGCTGATCGACTGGAACAGAATGGGTCCCTGTGTCAGCTTTTCTCAGACAGAGAACACCAGTATTTTCCTGGCCTGACAGCACATGGTTCTGGCTGCTGCCAGCTCTGTTGCTCACGTCTGGAGCCACTCGCTTGGTCCTGAGCAGATGGACTGTGCTAGAATCCTCCAGTCTCTCTTCAAGCAATCCAGTTGGAGAAGAAGACTCGATTTCCTGCTGTTTTGAGGGTGACACCGGCTCTGCCAATGAACTCTGCTTAACTGTGTTCAGGCTATGTGCTCTTATGCGGGACCATGTTGTGGAGTGAAAGCTTTCAGCCTCTAGCCAAAATTTAACCAAGTGTTCCATTCTGCGTAGTTCCATGAACTGGATAAAATAAGGGAGGGCTACATTGTCCTGCAAAACTTGTTCAAGGGTCTTTGAAAGGCTTGATTTGGTCTCTTGGGCCTGATAATTCAGACACGATCTGCCTAAAGAAAAATATCAAGGGAACAACTCTGTATTACACCACGGGCATTGGTATTCAATACAAAAACATCCTGGAATGCAACTGCCAAAAAGACGATTCTAAGGACTGCAACATATTCTTGAAACAAAGCACTTTGTATTATGTAGTTTTGTCTTGTTACAATTTCATAGTAGAAATCTGATCCCAGATAGAGAGACCTTAAAAATCAGATAAAAATACATTGCCTTTATCACAGAGACACATCAATAAATTCTGAAGAATAGTGTACTTCATAATTTTCTTTTAATAAACCTTCCCCACACATCATATTTACAAAATTGAGATCAAAAGACTAATTACATTTTTAGGAAATAAACTTTTAAAAACATGACTTTATGAACACTGTGTATGAACACACAGGAGAATAATACTATGCACACCAGGTTAGACTACAGAGTCTGCCAAATTCGCTGTTTAATGAGGCAAATTACACCAATTTAAAGGATAGCAGGAGAATTTCTACAACACAATGGCTGTACATAAAGGAACATCTTTTGCTGAACAGGAAACAAGCAAAGTGTCTACTCAAAAATAGATGCTACTTCAACAGCAGCGTCAAATTTTGTTGTTACCAAATCTACTTGCCTCAACCAAGGGATGGTGAGCAAACCAATAACACTAAATAACATTAACTGTATTACAGAATAGAGGAGGCCTTACCTAAGTCTCCAAAATGAGCAGCTTCCATGTGACTTGGCTGCTTCTTAAGGGCAGCTGTCCGACTGCTAGAAAAAGAGTCCATGTTGGCAGAGATGGCATTAATCGCCACATGGCTTGGTCCTGCAGCCTCCAGCAAGGCATGATTTCTAGTGCTTCTTTGAGGGGAATGTACTGGTATTGGAGCTAGAATCAAGACAGCACTGATTAGAAAGAACATAAGACCTCTTCTAGGCAGCATCCAGTGCTCAACATCCCAAGATAAACTAGAGCTTGCATGCATCAAGCTCACTAAAAATCTCTTCTCTCCCTATGGTTCATTTTTGATCAAGGTCAGATTTACAGCAAGACTAACCTCACCAGGAGGTCAGAAAACCACCATTCCCCTGTGTCTTACCTCTTCGGTAACTAATCAAAAGACTCCAAGTTTAAGTTTATATAAAAAAATGCATTTCCTGCTCTTTGTGGCTGCTTGATAACCAGTATCATAGTGGTCTATTACAGCCCCATCAATACAGTTTAATTGCAATGGTCATGGCAAACTTATTCAATAATTTTTCCAAACACACATAAAACTTGAAGGAGGAATGAAATTGGAACTCTGAACTATGAAGCTATCTGTGAGATTTAACAAGAACATTTATTTCCAAAATACTTTAACCCTACTTAGTTTAAAGAGGGAAAAAAAGAAAAAAAAAAGCAACATGCAAACATCTCTGCTGAAATTCAGATGATTATAAGGCTTAATCTCTTCTAGCTGTTTCAGATCATGGTTGGCTACTTGAGGCCAAAGAGAACAAAGAATAATTTCCTCACAGAAAACCATTTGCAAAAAAGAATCAAAGATTTTTTTAATTGATGACAAAGCTAAAAATAAAATAACATACCACTTTCAAAGCCTTAGGAAATTACATTTGATTAGGATGTCATGCAAGGACATCTCACACCCCAGACTCTTAAAAATAAAGCAAGTCAGATGACACTATCTCAGTACACCGCTTCATAACGATGTGTTTCGTCAAGGTGTCAAGAAAGTTTGCTTTGATGACCTTCATACTGCATAATTTCATTTTGGTTCACAGTTTTGTGATACAGGATGACAGAAGCTGACAATTTCACACTTACAAGTCAGGGTACCAGACACCTTAAAAGTAGTGATATAGGAGAGCTAAAATGTTCGAGATATTCCTAAGTGTTTCTCCAGATGAAGCATTTGGTAGCAAGATACTGCTTGCCACCCTCTACAAAGCCTTTGGTATTTAATATCAATGATAATGGAAAGAAAAACAGGGTTTCTGGGCCAATGGAAGGCAGCCAGGTGCTTAGCTGATGCCAGTGGCCAAGGATGACTTGCTGTAGAACAACAGCCACATTCCTCACAATTGTTTAGGTTTTTGTGAATTGGATTCAATTTTGTATTATAAACATTATGGGCAAAAATGCTGTATTTAATTGAAGGAATCAAACAACTATTCTATAGCTTCTAGATAACACTACATCACTAACCTAACATCTACAGATCACGGAGCAGCTTTTTGTCAAACCAGAAAGATGCTTCTTGTTTATTCAGTGACAGCTGCTCACAATTTATAATAAAATAAAATTGAAAATCTGTTTTATTTGCCCAGAGACCACACTGCAGCCTTTCCCTGGCTACCTGTTTCAGCTAGTCACTGGTCATCATAATTGCACTATAATCACAGAGTGTGCTATAAAATGAGCAAGACTGACAGTTTCCAATACTTGACTTCAGAGACAGACCAACAGAGAGAAAGAAGCCTTTAATTTTCTCTTGATATTTACAAAACACAGAAAAAAGTGCAGACAAAGATTTTGG